ATAATCACAAACCTACAGCCACAAACACACAACCACAACCACACAACCACAAACACACAATCACACACACAATCACAAACACCCAACCACAAACACCCAACCACAGACACCATCACAAACACACAACCACACACACCAGCACAAACAGGCAACCACAAACACAATCACAAACACCCTACAAACACAAACACAAACACACAGCCACAAACGCACAACCACCAACACAATCACAAACACGCAACCACAAACACACAACTACCAACACAATCACAAACACGCAACCACAAATACAATCACAAACACGCAACCACAAACACAATCGCAAACACACTACAAACACAATCACAAACGCGCAACCACAAACACACAACCACCAACACAATCACAAACACGCAACCACAAACACAATCACAAACACACAACCACAAGCACAACCACAAACATAATCACAAACGCAACAAAAAAGCACAACGACAAACACACAACCACAAACACACAACCACAAACACACAATCACAAACACACAATCATAAACACACAAGCACAAACACAACCGGAGGATCTGAGTTGTATTATTAGTTGGGCACAGGTCTCCTGATGAAAGCATTCGCTTCGGACAAAACAGTAAGACTTGGCGCTGAAGGACTTGTGCTGTTTTGAAATGTCATGGTGGGGATCACTCGAAGTAAAGTAGTTTTTCCGTGGTCGACCGCACTCATTTTTGCAAGCTGGTAGCTTAGCAACGGGCATGTATATATTAAACAACTATAACACAACATAGTACTAATAGTACTATTAATGCAACTTGAGAGGAGGGACACACGAAAGGTATGACAGCGGGAAGAGAAGAGAACGCGAGAGGCAGGAACAAACATGCAATGTTCGACACGGTGATTTATCCCCTCGGAGGCGACCTGTCGTAAATATATAATATGCACTCTAAATGTTCAAACAATTGCTCTCGAAATGTTCAAAAAGATTCTGAGGAAAACAAACTTGCCCCATGGCTCAGATCATCGGTGAGCATTGAATCGGAGCATCATAGCATATAGGATTTGAACTATCCTGAAACCATAAGAGGCTCACGAAGACGCTCCCCAGGAGAGAATTGACGTGCTTCACAAAACAAACTCTAGGTATGTATCCCCTCGGGAAAAACACCTTTCGTGATTAGAATTTCATATGCACTCTTTCTGAATGTTCAAGAGGGTTTCAACTATCCTGAAATCATGAGAGGCTCACGAAGACGTTCTCCAGGAGAGAATTGAATTTAGAGGGGGGGTCTGTATTGAAAAATCAATTCCAAGGGGGCGGGGGTTGAATTGAATGATCAATTATTAGACCCGGACGCGCCAACACTTGCTTCGCAAGACAAACTCAAGGTATCCCCTAAAGGGCTACCTTTCGTGACATGCAATTAATGACATCCTGGACCTTCGGTTTCACATGCTTTGACCCTGGGTCCGGGAAACCCTCAGCGGCGGAACCCATTCCGGTCTCCGTCTCCGAACGCCGCCTTGGACGACACCGGACGCTTCGAACGGAGCCTTTTCGGGCATTGCGAACCGAACACTGGGACGCGTCCGCGTCCGCGGACGTTCCACGCGGGGCCTGAAGCTCCACTTTCCGCTCGAAGGGCGAGCGTTGATCCTTCGCCTTCCGCCGGTCCTCTTCGGCGCGACCGGTCACCGGGTCAACGGACCGGTCACCACCGGCCACGCGACAAAAGGCCGAGAAGGAGTGTCTCTCTCTCCTGTGCAGTCGTTGTTTTTGCTTGGGGGGGGGAGTGGGGCGCATCAAAAGGTTGCACACACTATTTGGGGTCCTAAGGGTTTGAGATCCCAACGCCCGTGTGATAAGAGATATGCTACTATGCTCCGGAGCGGCCAATCGCGGCAGAAATATAAAGCTTCGTGGACTTGCTCCAATTGCGTCAGTCATCCAACCCTTCCCGCCCGACAAAATGCCCAACGCAACAAACAAACCAACACAAGTTAAATAAGGACCTCAGCTCCTCATCTCAGCATTGCCGACCACCTCGCTCCATGCTGCGCGACGCGGCTTAAACCGTTTGCTGCGCGACTCCGGTCCTTCGGCACTTTCCGAAGCTGATTGGCCGGATTGATCTCAAAGCGCCCATCCACGTCGCTGTCCTGTCGCCGGTGTCGCTTCTTCCGCGTCGCCGCGAGGCAAAGAACAACAACGGCCGACCTGTGAGGCGGATCTTACTCCGGCTGGTGAGATGACATGGAACGTCTATGCCTATGGGACTGCAGAATTGGATCCATCGTCTGTGTCACGCGTTCAAAAAACAAAGACTCACAATGGACAAGTTGTGGGTGATGACTGCTGTAAGCTTATGATGCCTTTTGGAGTCTTTTGGTCTATCTGTTCAGCAACTCACGCTCGATACGACATCAAAACCAAAAGCACCCCATGAAACGAATTCATTCAACCGGAGCAACCCCATTCACCAGAGGCAGCACCTCGTTTCCATTCGGGAGGCCGGGGACGAACGGCGATTCGCCCGTCGTGGTGGGCAGTTGACCTTCCTGGATCCACTCAGTACCACACAAAGAAACATAGGACTATCATGGACTCATTAATGCTCCTCTCTTAGAGATTTCTCGGAATTGCCCTCCCAAACCAACGAAAACATTACTGTATAATTAAAACACTATTCTCCACTAATGATCCCTATGGTGCATTCGACGCCGTTATACACAGACGTCGCCTCCACACACCCTCGTCTCTAATATACAGCATCGTCGTTTTTTTACATGCCATGCCCTTTCTCCCGCTTCAGCTGGCAATGCTTGACCTTGCGCCTCGCCGTCTTTAGGCGCAGCAAAGACTTTCTCAGCACAGATTGGCTGAATGTAAATTGGTGAGAATGCCGGGCAAGACCTTGGATGTTAGCAGATTCCATGGTAGGGGTATGCCTGGGCATGACAAATCTTGTTGATGTTCAATCACTTTCATCAAGGCACTCTTCACATACTTCATTATGTCCTCGTCAACCATCGTGTGGCAATATCTTGCATTGTATCCTGATTTTGGGATCAGCATGCACCCCAATGCATAGCATGTAAAACACACACCGTAATGAATGCCTGGCAATTGATCCACTAATTAATTGTTGCCAAGATGCGAGTCTTCCACATGTCCCGGATCTGGTGATGGATCCCCTTGTTTGGTCCGCTGTCGGGTCATATCACTAGTACTAGTAGTTGAAGGTTCCAGTGCATACACATGCACAAGTCAACTTCACATGCGCCGTGCATGCACATGTGCACCAATATATAATTGTACATGCAGCAAAGGCGCATGTGCCTTTGGAATCATGACATAGCGTAGCCGTCCATTCCTGCCAGCGATGGAACCGAGCTCGATCGAGTGAACTTGATGGAATGCTGAGGCGCAGCATGTGGGCAAGGGGGGTGAGTCTTGAGTTTGGACGGTCCTCAAGCTCAGCCGCGAAAGGGCCTTGTAAAAGTTCAAGTACCGATATCCAAATTTTTTGATCTTGAAGGCCTCCGAGGGTGTCCTTAAAAAACAACGATGATTTGGAAGATCTACTTTTTTGAGGGTGCAACATGAACTTGCAGGGTCTTAGTGTCTAGCAAATAGCGTCCCGCTGACTCCATTGTGAGCACCAAATCATTCGCAGATACCCTAAGGTTGCTGCGTGCGCAGAACACAGTTTCTCCTTTACATGTGTGCAAGATGCCACAAGGGAGGTAGCTTAACACTTCAAAAAAACATAGCAAGAAGTAGGCCCCTGGCAAACATCCTGCAAGGATAACGTGCTCTTCTGAAGGGTGATTTTGTGCAAGTTCTGTAGCGCAGCTGGCCAACCAAGCAGTAATGCACCGTCCATTGTACATTTTGTGGGACATCAAAGGTTCAATGCCGCCAGACAAGACCTTCACAGCACGTGCGCATTCCTTTAAGATGCATATATTGTGCACGACATGCTGCGCGCACACACACAGAGGTCATGAGATATAGTTCATGATCAACAAATCGATATGTCAATCGATTCGATATACATCTGCGGTTTGCAGGGCTAGATGGTTAGTTTTCTAAGCAAAGACCTTTTTGCAGCAAAGTTGCAGATGCAGGTGTAAAGCAGGGTTGAGAGCACTGAACACGCTGTTGTTTCTTCCATGTTTTGAAACAGCGATGGGCAACTTTCAGAGCATCTTTGAGTGAGGTGATGGCCCTGTCCCCAAAGTATCCCGCATCATACAATGCCAACCTTATTTGCTGATTTCCTTTTTGTTTGCAAGAAGCTGTGCAATCAAATCAATATTCAGCATGCAGAAGACTGTTCAATACAAAAATGCTTCACATGTATACAGTAAGTAGCATTGCTCCTGCGTTTGTGCGCTGAAATGTTCCAAGGTAAGCATTATGTGCAAAGCAGAACTGGATCATCTCGTAGTGGAACCCGATGACTCCAAATATCGGACCTAAAATGTGATCATGAACAGGTACTGAGGACACAAATGCGATACCGATCGATCGGTGATAAAAACCCAATCCTTCAATATGCAAATTCTTATAGCAGTACTCCTGAAACCTGGCAAAACCATGCATGGTTTGCAAGAAAACATTTTGGTTTGGAATCAATATCATGATCACATAATCTCCAAATGAGTGACACACTTGACCTTGAACCATTGTTGTCAAGAACTCTGCATGGGACACTGTAGATGGAATCCATGTCGCTGATTCAGAGAAGTCCATGTACGAGTCTTGCAAAGTCGCGTTCTCATGTCTCAAACCCTTGGCTCTGCATTTCCAGCAAATGCTGATCGATGTCCACCTGTTCCGCATGTTGAAGATGTACACATGAAAGGACCAATCTCCACGGACTTCAGTGAGTGCAAATCTATGGCGGCCCTTGCACAAGAACTCACTTTCTCCGATCTTGCCTTGCACCTTCTGAGAAAGTGGCATGCCTCTGAAGCCAGACATCGGTTTCTTTCCCTCCCATAACTGGTTGAGACACCAGCAAATGTATGAGAGGAGCGGATACATGGTCTTGATTCCCAAACATTCTTTCTCACGTACTGCTGCAACAACAAAGCGGCTGTTTCGTGAAGTTCGAGGGGACCAGTGAATCACGTTGAGGGACAGCACAATCACTTTTTCGATGCAGCCAGACCCTTGGGTATACCTGCATTCATCTCCATGCAATCCCAAAGCTATGCGGTCTTTGTCGGCAACTCCTGGGTGCCCCTTTCCCCATGAAAAATATTCATGGGCATGGTCCCAGTACTGTGCCCTTGTAGCTCTATCGACGTGGACTCCATGCTCATCAAATAGGTATTGCACCAATCGTAATACGTCTACAACCGGTATTGGGACAACAGGCGTGCCCTCTCCTTGTTCTTCCCGATCGATTGGCGCATACACATGGACCAGCTCCTCAGATTGGGCACGTTGCGAGCCAGCAGATCGACATGTAGCGTATTCGAACTAAATTTTACGTGGTTGTCGCACCGTCCACTGTATTCGACTTCTTTCTTATATTTATATGCTAGCTAGCGAGCAAAATTGAATCGACCGATATCATGTATATTTCGATTCAGCTGACCAAAAATATTCAAAAGGTGAACAACAATCTGATCTTGAGATTCTACAGGCAAACAAGCTTGCTTCCAAAATTTGCGCGACCAGTTCCCTGCCGACTCTCCGATGTGTTTGAGTTTGGTGGTGCCTTCACTCATCAAAGAACGTTTGCAGCCATCGTGACGTCCAGCTACCTCCTTCAAACACATCATCGATCGATCGGTCAATAGGTCATGGTTTTTGAATACATGTCAGGTCATAGGTCTAGATCTACAGACTGGGACCACGTATGCATTATAAAGTAAAAGCATTGCACTGCAGCACTCTGACAAAAACAACATGTAGCAACAGCAGTCCCGCGTAGCTGAACACGCTGACTGCAGCGCTTGAGCAACACTTTCCTGCACCAGAACTTTTACACCAACACGGGATGCACACAGTGCCCAATCAGCAAATTCTAGAAGATGTACATGTAGTCTTCACAAAATGCCCAGCAGTTCAGGCCCCCACACCATTCCCAACTCGCTCTTCTAAATGTTCATGAAACGCCGATGAAGCACCTCATTCCGCGTGGCAATGCGCATAGCAAAAACCTCGAAGGACCAATAGCTAGCAGACAACAAATTGTGCGCACACTTCGGATCTGGAATTGGCGCATGTGTGCATTTTTGTCACTTCAGCTCGGCAGTTCGAGAATTGGTGACAAGGCATCTCGATGAGCCCCTACATTCAAACATCTCACAGGCTAGCTAGGCACCACGAAGCACTTGGGCGGAAACCGTCATCTCGTTTTTGTAGTCGACAAAAAAAGGATATAACTCGACGTTGGGTTTCAAGCTTTTTACGCTTAAGGGGGCCCGGGTGAACTCATGATCAAACTTAAACATCTCCACCTTCTATGTGCTCTATGGTAGTGCTTCCAACACTGCCATGCAGTGTATAGCTAGAACCCCAAATCCCCAATCACTTGATTGAGATCAGCAGTCCACTATTTCTTGTCCGATGCTGCTGGCTTCTCCACCTTCTTGGTCTTGGGAACCTCAGGTCGTGCAGGCGCGCGAACAGATAAAAAATATCGATATCGTGGCGAACACGTCGAAGATGTACATGCATGTATATAGCTTAAGCTTTATATATATATATACGTTATATAGTATACTCGATTTGTATTTAAACGTTTGAGATATTGGTTTCGCCTACTCAGATCGACCTGGTCCCACAGTTGCAAACGACCGTACCCTGACTTGTTAATTAAGTATTTTGCACTGCAATGCTAGCGCAAGTAGCTTCTACCAGCCAATGGCCAATTTACCATCAGCTCGGGCCCCAACACTGTACAAGAAATATGGTCCATAAGGGTCTCGAAGGGCCATGCTACCTTCCCCACCCGGCGCAACATTCCTACATCCTTGACGGCCCCGAAAGGTTGCAACTAATAGAATTTCCAAAATTTCTACAATGCGATTGTTCTCAGAGCAATGAATTAGCCTCATCTCTGCAAAGTTGGACTCCTTGTATTTTTGCATTCGGTAGCCAACATTGGAGCTGATCCCAATTTTGAAGATACAAACAG